CGCCTTTGTACTCTTCCCCGTTTTTTTTTTTTTTTTTTTTTCTTCCTTACAATCTTCATTCATTTAGTAACGCTCCACCAGGTCCTCGGTCCCGAATTTGGTGGGGTGCTTTGGGTTGATTAGCAGGAGACTGAAAATCGTGGATTCTATGGGTGGGACGTATTCATTATAGATCATTTGTGGGCAGCAACAGAGCACAACTTATCAACAACATCTAACACTTATTTTTTCCCATTTGTTTATCTATTATTGATCTATTTTTCTTGCCTTTACTTCCTGTCCTGGCTAATGGACAGGAAGACTAAAGAGTGGTGATGGTGCAAGGACTGCTGAGACTGTTTTGCAGTACAGGTAATATTCAGCCTGTAGGCTCCTCATTGGTGGAGTGTACAGTCCTGTTGTAAGTTTTCCCCTATAATGTTTTTTGTGTAACATTCTGGTGTTAATGAATGCAATCAGAAACATGTTATAACAATAAACTGGTGCTAGTACAAAAGGGCAACACTAGTTGCATACCTCAGCATGATGTCAAAGTACAGTGATTGCTCAGTGTTGGGTTGGAACAGATGGGGTGAATGACCTTCTTCCTTTTTACATCTGAGACATTATTGGTCAATACTTCTTTACAGTATTTTTGGTTTATTATTGCCGAAATAGTCTGCAGGACTGGGGAATTCTGCAGGTCCCTTTTCCATGGAGTCTTTAAACCAGGGTTGGACAAATCCCAGGAGCCGGGTAGCCAGCGCTACCTAGAAATTTCAGCTGGAGCCTAACTTTTGAGTTTTTACTCTAGTTTTTGCCAATGGAGCTGGCTCTTGGAGTAGACAGACTTGCTTCAGAATTCCATATTAACCCTACCCCTGTCCCTGCTTTAAGCACCCACAACTTTTAGCACCCACAACTTTTGCAGCAATACTCACCTCCTCTTCACTGTACCCGGGGGAATTCCTTCTCGCTACTAAATATCATCAGTCTTCCTGGTTGAATGACACCCCCAGCATAGTGTGAGTTTAGGGTGATATGGAACCCGTCCCCAGCAGAGGATTAACATGGCACTCTTCAAAAACAGTGTTATGATGCAGAAAGTGGCACTGATGTCATTAATGAGTACCTCTGGGTAAATATACTGCAGGAGGGCCTCCCGGTGGTGAAGGGGGTATATGGAGGTGGAGGGGACCTGAAGTAGGGCTTTAAGACAGTCCATTGACTTTGAAATAGCCCTAACTGTGCCTCGATACACAAAATAATACACCTGCACTATTTTTGCAATGCAGCGCACCACACTACACAGAGCATTCACATGGTTGATGTTGGTTGCTATAGCACAGGTGCCAATTTTCCTATTGTATATGTGCGTTGGGGTGCCATTAGAAATTATTGACAATGCACATATACTGTGCATCACCATGCATTGTTGTAACATACATTAAAAATGTAGTTCGTTGTCCCACTTAGATATGAGTGCGTAGATATGAACTCCAATGTACATTTTTTTAAAAACCTGCCCCGATTAAAATCCTTATTTATAATGTATTCAATATTCGGCTAATGCGCCATTTGCATATATATTTGTTTGTTTATGTTTATGTTTATAAGCCGAGCTTTCATTTTCATGATCTAGTTACTGAATAGATTTTCCTCAATAGAATCTCTGCCATTTTCATATATTGCTGCAGTCCTGTGTCAGCCAGCAGTGATCAGGCTTTTGTATTGTTCACAGGATTCGCTTTTGAGTCTATCATCAAAATCTCATAATGCTGCATCTTGTTTTCTGGGCAGTGAAATTAAAGGGGCAGCTGCAGGGCAAATGTGTTTATCTGTCTTAAAGTCCCCAAATAATTGCTGCGGTTCTGTTTCCTCTAGCGAAAGCCCCACATTCCCCTTACTTTCCCAGTTGTGTTATTTGAGAACTCGACTTGAAGGCTTAGCAGCGAGAAGCCATTACATTTTAAATGATTAAACTGAAGATTAAAGCAACACAGATGTTGTGGCAGTGGTTAATGCCATGTTAAATTATGTTGGTTAAAGACTTCAGACATCCTCTGCTTATAGGCCTGAGCGTAATTTAGCGCAAACTGTTCAGCGAAGACAAGATAGCATTATGTAAGAAGTTCCGTGACCATATTTTGATCTCCTAATCTGGTGTAAAATCTATGCTCATGCATGCTTTTTTTTTTTTTTTAAAGACATAGTAAAGATAATTGGCAAGTGGTATGCGTATTGTGCTAAATCTGCGTACTTGGTTAAAGGGAACCATTCAAGAATGGGTGTAACAATCTAAATCTACTATTGAATTGTCAAAATAGTGCAACCTTGTCTTTCATGGAAAGACAGAATTAAGCAGAATTATTGACTTAAGATGGCCGTACACTGTTGTTTCTCGTTCACCCCCATGGATGCTAGTGTGGAAGGGGGAATCTCCCGTGCTAGTCTATTGTATTCTGACAGCAGTGTCCATTTACATCCAGTTACCTCACATTTAGGTCCAAAAAATACGGAGAAGGATGCAAACCTTATGTAAATTGACTCATCCATTTACATTCGGCTGCCCATAGAGTTACATTGGGTTTCCGATCAAATCCACCTGACAGCCAGATCTATTGGACCTCTCATGTGTAGGGGGCCATAGGGTGGAGAAGAAGAGGCTGTAGAAAACTGGCAGGCAGACCTGATCGGAAAGCCCGTGTTGGGTTGTGTCAGTGGCATCAGTTCATTGACGGGTGAATTTGACCTGCAGTTGGCATCCTCCTGACCTGCATTTGACTTGATTTAAGCAAGTTTGCATATACATAGACTTGTATGGGAATGCAAAACCCGATTTTGAAGTGAAGGTCAACCCAGGCCTTAAGGGTACTGTGGGGAACAATAGGTAACCTGTAATTTTTATTGTTTTCAGTTTAACGTAGGAAGTGACCATTTAGTACATTTTATCTGGATTTTATGAAAAGTCCACATTATACTGTAATGAGTTGACAATTACATTTCCCCAAAAAATTATTTTAACACATTAGCCACCACGTGGCGCATTTGAGGAAGGGGAAGGGCTGAAGGTTGGCATGCTTGGGAATCAATGTGTGTCAGCAGTGAGGAATTACGCACGTGTTGTGACAGATATTCCAAATAGAAGACCTTGTCCAAGAGACTGGTTGTGTTCTGTGTACTGATAAAAGGAGGATCATTGTACTCTATATGCTGGAAATGAACACCGTTGCCCATGTTAAATAAAATGACTTCTATGTTATTGTAAAATGAATTGGGTTTTCTGGACACTGGACATTCTGCTTGGGATTTCTTAGCTTTTACACACAAAGGGTTCATTTGTACTGGGATTAGCGAAACCTCTAAGTACAGCATAAGTTCTGAATTGTGCAGCTTTCTTTGGGCATGTAGGATTAGTACGCTTTTTAGATTTGCCCATTGTTATCGATTTGCCAGTGTCAGGATGCAAAGACACGGCACTGAGCGCTTGGATCTAGATGTCTTATCCTTGCCCCCATACAGCGCAGAAGCCCGTGTGCGCTCAGACAGCCTGAGCAGCACTGGCTCGTGTGGCAGGTTTGTGCTGCGTCAGAGAGTGGCACAGCTTATGACCTGCATGGAAGATGTAAGCTCCGATGATGACATACACGAAGAGCTCTCCCGATCAATCGACCAGGCTTTTCTAATTTGTGGGAAAAAGATGCCTTCAAGAATGCAGGATTTCAGGTCTCCCGATTAAATTGATCTTATTTTCTGTGTATTTGTACAGAAATGTATGTGTACTTACATGTGAACTAAAAAAAAAGGATTTCCGTTATGGCTCTGCTTAAAAATGTACTTGGCTATTCAATGTTTAATATTTTATTTCAGGTTTCTCTTGTGCTTCACCTTTATCCTGGAATGCTCTTCATTGTCTATGACTGGCCTATTTTTAATAATATCTCTAATAACTCTCTAACCTACTGCTTACTTATTGCCTTATTGATCCTTTTAGTAGTATTTGCTTCTCAAGTACTTTAAATCTGGGCTCAGATGGAGAGTCTGTTTTTGGCTGTTGAGTGTATGTAAACCTCTGATGCATTTGGATGATGTATGGTTGGTCCTTCCCTCTCAAGATTCTATCTAGCTTTAGCAGGTTCCTCTGAACTGGATCTTTTATATCTTATTTTTTTTTTTTGTGTGGGTTGTTTTTGTATAGCTATTAAAATTCATATTTTACTTCTCTGTGCACCTCTACAGAATGGGATTTGTGGTGTACAATGAAAAATAGTAATGGTGATCTAGGAGATAAAATATGTGGTACTCGTAAACACACCACATTTCACCTTTTTGTTTGTTGGGAGCAGTTGAAACACGGAAACCTTATTTAATGAATGTCAGTTTTCGTTTTTCCTTTTATTAAAAAACCTCAGTGTGGTATATATCAAGAGTATATCAAATTCAGGTAATTTACCTGAATTTGATATACTCTCATGTATACCTCTTGTTGTCCTTTTTGCTCATGCTGTATTTTGTGTTCATAGTGGTAACATGTGGCTTGTCTTGTGTCTTTAGGTTGCATGTTGTTACTTGGAATGTGGGCACAGCATCGCCACCTAGAGATCTCAGCTCCTTATTGCTGCTTGATTCGTCAGACTCCAATATCGATATGTATGTCATTGGGTAAGTGTCAGCATGTGCTTTACAAGGCTTCTAAGGGCCTGATTCATTAAAACTGGGCACAAGGATGTGTAACTAGGCATTACAATCTCCATTGTAGTAGATTTTCACTTGTTTGCAGAGCCCAGAAGTGCCAGTAGAGTATTTAGCAGACCATACTTTGGAGTGTGTGAGATGTCTAGGGCGACATCTAAATAATTTTGGCGAATTGAGGCTCATGTCTTTTAGGGCATAGTCACACCAGACGTGTTGTGTTGTGCATTTTCATATGCAAACAAAGAGCATGAACATGCTGCTGTCTTGTTTACATTCCATACACTGATACAGAAATGAATCTGATATTCCTTATGGTCATAGGACCATGATACCGTGCTAACAAATATTTTCTCTTCTGATCTACATTATTAATATTGTCTGTATTTTAGGCTGCAGGAAGTGAATTCAAAGATAGTAAACTTCCTATCAGATTTGGCCTTTGATGACCCATGGAGTCTGTTTCTTATGGACATTTTGGCTCCTCTAGGCTATATAAAGGTATGCATCTATTTTTAACCATTTGCACAGTGGGAGAAATTGGACATGTTGTTAGATGGTTCCATAGATGGCTGATGGAGGCCAAACATATTTAATTATACTTCTATTGGAATGCAGCAGTTGTATTGCGTATAGGTTTTGTAGGTTTTGTTTTCTGCCACATTTAATGAGTAATTCCACTTTTGTTGAGAAATAACCAGTTCTCTGGGTGATCTGTGTACATTACAAGGATTTTAACAACCTTTGTTGCAGTTTCTTACCTGTTTCTGTTCTGAAGAACAAACTGTTTGTTGCAGCATGTCCTTTCCAAATTGATTCCTGAATGGGAGGGTCTGGTTTCATTACAATCAGCTGGTGGACTTTCTGTAACGTAATAGGAAAGGTGCAATGTCTGCATCGCCCTTAGAAGGAAATAACCCTCAGGAAGTATCTCACCAAAAATGCAATTCCTATTGCATGGTATGCCAAAAATAATACTTCTATCTTAGTACAGACTTCTGAGATAATCAGTCAGTCAATCACAGAAGCAGGAAATTACATGTTGGGGGTCGCTATATTGCATTGAATTTGTTTGACAGCTTTAGAACATCAGTTTACAGTTTTAAATGGAAAGGTATTTTTAAGCAACATTACATTACAAAATGGCTTGTGCAGCACTTATATATGCTATATTGTTTTTTAATGATTGTTTCATTTTTATATTTTTAAAGTTACCTTTTAAGGTAAAAGAAGAACATTCATGCATTACTATGTAAGATGTCTTAACTAATGTGAACACTGTATACATTCGGCCCATAATTGTGTATTTGTATTTTCCAAGCAATACATTATCTTGTGCTAAAAAAAATCAAATCTGACAAATCCGGTTTGCATGGTATAAAAGTTAATATTTAATAGAACATCAATCTGTGTTACTGGTCAGAGTATGATAGGGTAACCTGCTGTCATAGGTGCCCCTGATGGTTCCTAGGCAGTGGTACTTACAAACTCCCTTCTTTATCCGTGCCACGGCCAGCAGCACTGAATCTATTGTCAGACCATGGTGCAATGTAGTTACTCTGGCACTTTGGATTTCTAACAGGGTTATTCACAAAAGGGTAAAGAGTTTGGAGAAGGCAGGAGAAGTGACCAATCTAGGCCAAAATAGCTGATTTGGAAACATCTTCCAATTCAGCTCACTTTCCAGTTCAGCTATGTTGTCCTAGATTGTTCACTTCTCCTGCCTTCTCCAAACTCTTCACCCTTTTGTGAATAGACCTGTAAATGTAGAGTTAATTAGCTATGACACATATGTTGGCTAGTCTAATACACCATAGTTTATATTCATCATGTCAACATACTGGCCATATGCTCTCATGAAATTGACCATATATTGCTGCATGACTCGTATTAACCATTAAGTTACCTAAGTAATTTCTCTAAGTCCTGGTACTTCTGTTTCCATCATTGATACTACTACAGTACAAGACAGGATGTAGCTTTTACATGAAACCATGTAAGCCCTGAAAAGAGTCTCTATATATTTAAACTTTTCATCATATGTTATTGAAATTAAACTTGGCATCAGATTAGGCTCTTTATACCAGGTCAGAATTTATAAAGAACCTTATTAATGATGGCCTGTTATGGAGAATCTTCTCTATTTTGCCTTTCTAATATTAAGACTCTTGTAATAAAATGAAAGAAGCTTTTAAAAGAATGACCATTGCAGAAATAAAGGAATATAGCCAGGCTTGATTTCTTTAAAGCAGTTATCTTGTTTGTCTGTGACCCCGATCAATATGTTATTTTTATCTGTAATATGATCATACTACAACACTAAATATGTTGGTCTAAACAAAATGTATGTTTGCAGTTCCTGACGTAGTCTTGTCATGCGTTTCAGCTTTCTTCTATTCGGATGCAGGGGTTGCTATTACTGACCTTTTTAAAGCACAAGCACATTCCCTTTGTACAGGACATTCGTACCAATTACATCCGCACTGGACTGTATGGCTACTGGGTAAGTGGTCTGGGAATAATAAAAGGTAAGGCATGCCTTAAAGCTGAACTCCAGGCAAACGGCTAAATACAGAGATGAAGAACATATATGAGAACTGTTTACCTGCCATATCTGTCCACCTAGCCCTGAGAGTTACGCAGCCTTGTCTGGCAGATGAGGGGACTTGACCTTTCTCCATTGCAGTTTCACTTACAGGTGTCCTTCCTACCCCCACTTTGTGATTGGGCAATGAAAGGAGAAATGGCACACTTGATTGGCTCCTTGTGCTGCTTTCCCAATTTTTAAGTTCTGTTGTATGGGGACTTCAAAAGATTGATGTCTACTCACATCGAGGTGCATGCATTTTCATACTTACATGGAAATGCAAATGCATTTACTGATTTCAGAGGTACATAATTGGGTTCCTTTTTATAGCTGCGTAGAGTTCAGTTTAAGTGATATTGGCTAGGAGTCTAATACTTTGAAAAAATGGGTGGCTGCTAATTGACTCATTATTCGAAATAAAGAGATGGAGAGAGAAAAAACAACAGCACTAAATGCAGCTAAAGGCCTTTCCTTTTTTCCCCCCTAAGAATGATGTGTATATGCACAACTACATCTACACTGCCCTATTGCGTAAAACAAAGCAATATATCTGATGTGGTGAACAGTTCCTTAGCTTCCAGGCAAACACTGGGAAGAGTACAGTAAGAGACAGACAGAGCTGGATTATTTATAAGGCAATGTAGGCAGGAGCCCGGGGCCTAATTTCTTATTGTATCATGCCAGTACAGACAATGCAAATGGGGCAGCTTATCTGTGCTTATTGCAATCCTTGGCAATGCCAGGGATGGGAGGGATGGTGGATGTTAAAATTGCTGTCTTGCCTAGGGCCCCAGTCTGCCTTAATCCATTTCTGGTAAGCAGTACAGCTGACATTTTTTTCACCTGTATTTCATCATGCAGGTAAACAGAAGATTACTGGATTAGATATATGTGGGATTTGATTGTTGACCCATCTTTTGGCTTTAGCATTTGATTTGTTAAAGAGTTAAAGAATTGTGACGGTTTACAGCTATTTTAATTTTCTGCCTGCCTGTTCCGGGTTAATGGTTTTGCGGTATGGAAGCCAGACCCAGCCAGGCAAGTAACATTTTTAGCCAGGGCCTGCAGTGGCAGCCTATATGTTACTCTTAAGATAAGTCTACCTTACAGTTTGTAGATCATGTCTGCTAGTTGTGGCATGAGAAGAGAGATATAGTCACCCTAGGATTGTGCTACATTAAAAAGTTTTTTTGAATTGCAGAATTGATCGTCTTGTATTGTGATTTGTAGTATGTTATTACATTTTATACTTTGCCTTTCTTTTCTTGACTTTTATAGGGTAACAAAGGAGGCGTGACCGAACGTATGTCTGTGTACGGACATATGCTGTGCTTCATGAACTGCCATTTGCCTGCACATATGGAGAATACTAACCAAAGGCTGGATGATTTTGAGAGGATGCTGGAGGCCCAGCAGTTTGATGGGGAAAGCGTTGGTGGTATTTTAGATCATGAGTAAGTTTTATTCATGGCCGTTATTTCTGGTGTTTTATTTCAATACATATTGCTTCAGTGGTGTGTAATAATCCAGTTATTTTATTGATCATTATTTATTTTTGTGTAATGGTACAGCATCCATAGTAGCAAGGTAGGATTTAATACAGAATTTAAAAAAAGGCTGCTATTTATCCTTGGCTCCACCGACAACAAATTACACAGTTGTGGGTGATTGCTAGACGCTTCAATCATTAAGTGTCTTTTAAAGTTTTTGGGAATCCTGGAGGTTTTTTTTTCTCAGATCAAAAGCTTGCCAAATATTAATAGATTTATTTTGTTCTGCCTTGGTGGTGGTGTATTGTATTCTAACAGCCAGCGCCCGTTGCTGGCAATCTGAAGATTTCCTGGCATTAATGCTGGCCATGCACTGGCAGCAGTGGCGTAACAATCGCCATAGCGACCCAGGCGGCCGCTATGGGGCCCGGCCAGGCCGCCTGGGTCGCTATGGCATGTGGGGGTGCTGGCTGTCACAGACACAGCTCAGCAGCGGCCACGGGCGCATTTCTCCTCATAGCCGCTGCGGAGCTGTGTCAGTGACAGCCAGCCGCTGCGGCAGATGAGGGCGGTGTACGGAATGGAGGAGGCGGTGCCTGCCTCCTCTTACATCACGACCTAAGCCAGCAACCTAAGAGCAGGTGGGGCCAGTGATGTAAGAGAAGGCAGGGCCCGTCGATGGCAGAGGAGGCGGGGCCCGGGGACGGAACAGGAGTCGGGGCCCGGCGACCACAGAGGCGCTGACAGGTAAGAGATCTCAGACCCTGCAGAGCCCACTATAGAGAGTCTATGGTGGGCTCTGCAGGGTCACTCTCCGCAGGGTCTCTGCAAGTGGCATAACTAGCAATCACGGGGCCCCATACAAAATTTTGCTATGGGGCCCTGTGATTTCTAGTTACGCCCCTGACTGGTAGAATGTGAATTGGGCAAAATTGTAAACGTGAGTGGCCTTGCTGGCTTGACAAAAGTCAAATACTCAGTTGCCTTTTGCAAAAGGAGCCTAGTTGAATATTATCCGGTAGACAGCCAGCACCTGCTGTTGTCAGAATTCAGGACAATTTTTGGCCTGCCTTCTTTGACAAAAGTCAATGGAGTATTCGACTTTTGTTTAGCCAGCAGGGCCAACCACTGCTAGAATTTTGTCCGATTCAGATGATTCACATTCTAACAGTGCATGGCCGGCTTTAATGGCTGGTATTTGTAACAGGAAAAATAAACAGGTTTGTCAGACCACTGCACAGCTGGGATTATACAGAATGTAATGCTTCACTTCCCCTACACAGTATATATTCTATTTGATGTCATTCAACCCTGGTTCATCTTGTGTTACAGTGTGGTGTTTTGGTTTGGTGACCTGAACTTTCGAATTTCCGACTTTGGTATCCATTTTATTAGAGAAGTGGTAAATGGTAACCGATACAACTTGCTATGGGAAAAGGATCAGGTAAGTTGATTAAACTACATTTGTATATAAACATGTATTCATATACAGGAAAAATCAGTGACACAGATAGCACGAGAAAAGCTAACAGGAGTTCTAGCCTTCTGGTGCTCCATCTGTATCCCTGTTGAAGATTTCTTCTCACTTCCTGCTTTGGAGACATGATCACCAGCATGGAAAGTAGATGGAAATCTCCCTGTATGTGTGTGAACTATCGCACACACAAAAAAACAACTGCCCATCCAGCCTGGCACACCAGGTATATGGGCTAGTTGTTGTGGCACCCCCACCATGCTGATAACATTTTAAATGCCATTTTAACACCAGAAGGGGTGCTTGAGCATATGGGTTCTAAGGAAATGGGGCTTTCCTTGCAGAGCCTGAGGGCATATAATCTGTATATAAACCTCAACCTGCCTGTACCACCTGCTTAAGGCACCAGGCGTGTGGAAAAGCCTCTCTTAGTAAAACTGGGAATGTGTTTTGAGAGCATCTTAAGCATCTGCTTGGTGCTAAAGGGCATAGGAACTGGTATCGGCATACAGGGACCTTTTTTATTCCTGGTTCACACATGCTCTTTTTTGACATGCTAAAAAGGAGTGGCATATGCTGGTCTTGGCTTGTTTTTTTTATATTCTACAGTTGCTAATTGTTAGCGGCATGAAGACCCGGAAGTCCTATTTATTGGTTACAAAGTGTAGTGAATAGATCTAGTAACGAGTCAAATTAATGACCGTAAATTCACTTGCAATGGGCTAGTATACTTCAAAAGTATGCAAGGCAAAGAAAAACATTCAGTAAATAAATGCAATCCATGAATATTTCCCATGTTTTATCAGTTTAAAGACCCTGCACGTACAGAGTAACACCTTTTTGATCTGCCAGAAATACACCTCATGTGGGCTGTTTACACACAGCATTTGTATGGGCTAAAGCTGGGTACACATGGAGTGAATTTATCTCTGTTGGTGACCCTATTTCCTTGACAGAAGTTGATCCTTGATCGACTTTTGCCGAAGGAACATGTTGGAAAATCTTCAGCCGAACTGTTCTTGTAGCCTGTTCAGTGTGGATGGAGGAATCTATGATTTTTTTTTTGTTAGCCCATTAATAGAAGATTATATAATATAAGAGTGTATGCCCAGCATGAGTGTCCTCAGACCAGCCTTGTGTCATGTGGTAAACTACTCAACCACTTCTCCTCTTAAGCCTCTGTTGGTATTATCACACAGTGTTTCTTTTTTCCCCTGAAATTGAATTACAGTTCTGTAAATGTACTTCATGGAATTCTTATTTTGTGTTCGCTTAAATCGATGGTTTTTCTTACTCTCTTCTAGTTAAACATTGCCAAGAAAAAAGAACAGTTTCTACAAGGTTTTATCGAAGGTCCCTTAAAGTTTAAGCCTACATACAAGTTTGATCTGAACTCAGATGTGTATGATACAAGGTAAACTTTGAGGTCACCTAGACCTCTGAATATAATATAAATAATTGCTTCTGATGTTACTGATTTATATGTTTTATTTCTAGATGGAAGAAGTCACTGTTTGGATTTAAGTAAGAGTAAAGCATTTTGTATCACTAAACCTAGTTGTAGCTCTTACTAATATATAAAATCAATAGCATACTGACATATTCAAACATTTTAATTCACTCGATTTCCCATTAGATTCTGTTTTTAAATCAATATAGACATACGCATATATGACTGGCATAGATGGGAATATAATGTTGATTTGATACATACAGCATTGTCATTTTTTGGCTATCTAGTACTAGTAGTACTCTGTACTCTAGTACTCTGTTAATCATGTTAGGTATTGATTAATGCAGAAGGTTTGGAGTTTACGTCATGCACTTTATTGGCTAACTTAAAGTTGTAATAAACTCAATTTTTTTTTCTTTTAATAATTAATCCAGATCAAACAAGTATACATTGGCCAGTATTTCTTAATTTTTTTCCTAAGCACTTGCAGGTGTCATATTTCCAAACTCCATCAGCTTGGCTTCCCTGAACTTCTGTCCAGTACAGGATCACAAGGGAAAGAGCAGTCTCCTGCAGCTGTCCATCCACTAGCTTGGGAAGGGAGAAGGAAGGAGGGGGAAGCAGGGTAGTGACTAGCCTTGCTGGGTCTCTGTGCTTGCGGAGAAACACGCAGCTTACTAGCACGCACAAGGGTGACTCCATAGGACCCTGCAATGGAAAGAAGCCAACCTAAAACAGGATATCAGGGCCAGTGCTCAGGTGACCAGCTGATTTTGTAGGAAGCTAAAACTTTTAAACATCAAGGACATATGCGTGTGCCGCCTATTACATTAGGGTGTAAGACCTGGGGCATCCCCGATTCCCATCTCTTCAACTGTCCCTTACCTCTTCCAGCAAGGGTGCAGTAATGAATCAGGGAGCCTGGCAGGTGGTCACCCACCCGGCTTCCTGATTGAATGGGAAACCGGGAATGGGAAAGCTCCCTTGCAGAGGACTGCTGCTGTTATGTGAGGAATGTTAGTGGCAAGTGCTGCTGTGCTTTGTGTCACTGAGCCGATCACAGAGAGATCTTTGTGATTTCTCCAGCAGCTCAGTAACACAACACCCGTTGCTGCGGTTTCGGCATTGTGCTGGGGGAGATCAGGGTGTGCCCAGACACACCCGGCACACCCTGTGCGCACGCCTATGATCAAGGAGCAGCATCCATTGTAAGTGATTTAATCAGCATTTGCAATAGCTTAACAATCTTTTGCCTTTGACTTTAATAAAGATGCTTAATGACCCCCTTAGGTCCCTTATGTAGGCATCATACAATAGTTTAAAAGCCTGAAGAAGAGATTTAAGGGGTCCTAAAAGCTTGATTCCTTAATTAAGTTAGCCAATAAAAGGTATCTACATAATTATTAGTTTTAAAATAAATTTTACTTTTATTTGTAACTAGAAAAAAGACAATTGTTTCCTAGGTCCAGCATGGCTGTGACATGTAGTAGGCTTGGCTGAAATGTCACGCTGGTTGTTATTACCATTCTCTGTTTTTTCAGTACATCTCACTGGGCTCCAGGACAGCAAGGCAGACCCACCAGGCCGTTGGGTCCTATACCAACTCTGTTCTAAACCATGTTTTCTGTATTGGGTGGATTTTTTTCTTATAAATACATACATAATATAAATACTATAAAGCAGGAGTAATAGATGGAATTTCATGCCAGAACTTAATGGGAATTGGGGACAGGAAAGGGTAATGTCAGTTGTGCTTGTATGGGGATAAAATGATCAGGCCCTATCTTTTTTAACATGTAGTTTTGTGCCAGTGGCAATTGCTTGTTTGTACTCATTTGTTCATCATAACAGAGACACGTCCATGTCACTGTTCAAAACTAACCTATTACTTGTGTATTTCTAGTGTAAAATTTGAGTATTAAATAACATACAGTTGGTATGACTGATTAAAAATGTTTTCACAGGCTTGTAGATGCATGTTATTAGGGCTGGCATCAGAGCTCTCTACCCCAGTGACCAATAACAAAAGGGTGAAGAGTTTGTAGAAGGCAGTAGAAGTGAACAATTTAGGACAACATAGCTGGTTTGGAAAAATTTTCCAATTCAGCTCACTTTGCAGCTATGTTGTGCTAGATTTTTCACTTCTCCTGCCTTCTCCAAACTCTTCACCCTTTTGTGAATAACCCTGTATGTTAAAAAAAAAACCTGTTTAATGGTCATACATGCCCCTGTATATATAAGTGACACCGTCAATACAAGCATCAATTGCAGAAATCAACTTGTGTAAGAGCTTGTTCTTATAAGAATATTTCTGGATCCCAGAGAACGGAGCCTACCCCAGAAGCTGCTTGACTCCAGCTGCACTCCCATGTTCATAGGGCATGTCTTCAAATTGCACTGACCTGAATGCTGTTTGCAAGGTTTAGGCTATGGCTGTCCATTGTAATGCAATGCTTAGGTGCTTAGACCGCACTTGGAATGCCACACAAATAACACATGTATGTTTTTTTGCATCCTGCAATAACAAAGGCACTTTCAAGCATCAGAAATGCCACTTATGACACACAGATCTCTGTGGTCACTTGGGTAATATTCCCCTTCATGAGTAGAACAGGAAGCAGTCCATTAATTTTGTATTCCCTTAATCCAGGCTTTGGATGAGTTAGTGATAAAGATTACAGAATTTGCCAGTGGCAAACAGTTTGGGTAAGGATGAGCAGATCTCTCACCTCAGAGTTCAGCAGAATTTATTGCAGATCTGACTGATAAATCCTGATTAACTTCCGTGGCACCTGTCCTTTATTCCTTTTCATTTCATGAACAGGACTCTTTACAAGCCTAGACCGATAAGGGAGGCTGTCGCATGAATCTGTTTTACAAACTAAAGCGCAAAACCCTACAAATACTCCATGTCTTGCAGATCATTGTTTGAGCAGTTGTTGGGCAACCCAGTCATGGTGTCTAGTTAAGCATGAGCTCTACCATACCTTTTGATCATCTCACAAATAAAATAAAAATCCCGGCATTTCCCACTGATGCACTGTTATCGGCCTGTGGGAGGGTCAGGGGATCTAGCATAGCAACAGGTTCTATATAAATGAAAGGCCTAGGAGGACAGTATGCAGTAATGGAGCCCACTGGGAACACCTAAAGAGATTGCAGGACATGAAATGTACTCAGCAGCATTTTTAGATTGTTAACCTTATACACAACATGTTAACTTCAAAGAGCTGAATGAAATATGTCTATTAAGATGATGAAAATCACTGTATATAAGCTATATCCAAGACTGGCCATATACTGTCCCGTTTGTGCAGGCATTGCAATCTACAAAAACAGGGCTGCATAAGAGTTCAGAAGTAAGTTAGCATGCTGGCTTATAATTTAGAAAATCTCTGCAACCCATTAGAGTGATTTCCTCCGCTCACTGAAAAAGGAACAGTCCTCTTTCTGCACATCCGCAAAGAAAAAAGCCATGCAGGGTTCTTAGTTAATCTTATCTCAAGTTATTATCATGGAATGATCTGCCTGTTTGGTTGTAAGTGTTCAGTTCACGTGGTTGCAAGCCATGTCTGGACTGAGTGCCACTCATATTGTGTCTGGTGAGACTTACCCTGGATTCCATAAACAAATCTGGATTGATCAGGGTTTGTCTAGACACATTGATAAATCCTAAATAATGTGTTTTTATTTTCCAGTGGTAAAAAGAGAAAACCAGCCTGGACAGATCGTATTCTTTGGAAGATCAAGGAAGTTTCAGAAAGTGAACAAGAAGAATCTGCTGGCTCTGAATTTGAGCATATCCTTAAAGTTCATTTAGAAAAATATACAAGCCACATGAGATACGGAGTCAGTGACCACAAACCAGTATCCGGAACCTTCACTTTGCAGGTAGTAACAAGAACCATTTTACTAATATCTTCACTGTCTTTTTTTGTTTTTTGTTATAACGTGAGGTTCACAGTAGCAAGATTTGACTTGCAAAGAAGGCAGGTAATATACTCAGTGAACATGCAGAGCAACGATCAAGATGAGTAAATTAACATTATACTTCACATGAAATCTCTGAAGCCATCAGATGGCAAATGACAAAGAGAGGTAGCTATAAACACCTGGAGAGAGTGGGGCAACCCCTACTCAGGTTGATTATCATAGCCGACTCCCACCACCGCCAACCTCCATTTTAACATTGAAAAATAAGGAAAGAGAAAACGATAAAAACGGTAAAGAGCTGGAAAATGAAGAGGTGAAGGAAGGGGGGGGCATTAAAAATGGGAGACAGGGAAGGATGGGGGGGTAGGGGAAATGCAGGGGTGATGAAGCACCAGGGCAAGGCAGGGGAAAAAAGAAGACAGCGTGCAAAGAACAGTAAAGCTTTATACTCGGAAGAACATTGGAATTCTTTCTGGTAAAACCAGCCATAAGATCTTACATTTGTATGGTCTTGTTTATCCTCCAGAACCAGTGTTGCAGGGTTGGTGAGGAAGTCTGGTTCCAGAGAGCTGGCTTTCTGCCTTTGCTGCATTCAGAAGATGAATATCTTCATTACAAAGACTAGAGGCCACCACCTAAAGTTGGTGGAGAAAAAATTCCAGCACAATGGGCGAAGAGGGTTCTTTACAGTAAGAGCGGTTAAGGTCTGGAACTCACTGCCATCCGCAGTGATTTCAGCCAAGAGTGTAGATTTGTTCAAGAAACGTTTGGACAATTTCTTGAGGGACCGTAATATCCAGGGATACCAGTATCCCTAAGAATGAGATAATGCGTGGACCTATATGGGTTGGACTTGATGGACATATGTCTTTATTCAACCCCAAATACTATGTAACTGTGAATTAAAAGAGAATATCTCTTAATGGAAGACATGTTTATATGATATAGAGACCGCAAAGGGTGTTTCTGTAAACTTGACATCTATGATGTAAACTTGACTTCTCTGAATGCCAGAAAGGTGCAAGTTTAGAGCATTCCCAAAACATGTGTATTAGTGAGCCACAGGAGGTGTTACATTGCCAACGCAAAGGAGGGGATTGAGGAAATATCTTGTGTAGCACAACAGGACTTTTAGGCTCCATTCACACTTTGGCGTTTGGTTAAAAATGTGGAACATGCTTGCGGTGCCATTACTTGTTAATGGCACCCCAAATGCGGGTGGTAAAATGCGCACATCAAACACATGGTCAAAAACGAGTGAAGCTTGCAGCTGAAAATGCGGTTCTTTAGCGCGTTTGTCACGCATGCAGCAGCCCATTGAAATAAATGGACTGACCCGCGACAAATAGTACACAAACTGTTGTACACGAAGTGTGAACGTGACCTGGTGAGCAAATTGTAACCAGATTCCTGTATTCCAGATTCCAATTAGTGGTTGATGACTTATGTGCTAGGAGAAGAATACGATCTAATTGGTTTTGCGAAAACGAACGTCCCAAATTGCAGTCCCAGAGTCTAATGAAAGGAGGTGGGGAGGTCACAGCAGCATAGCGAAGGCGATAATAGGCTAGGGAAGGCATATGTTTCAGAAGACATGAATCCAGACATAATTTCTCTAGAGGAGTTGGGGCTCAAAGGAGCAAATCTTTTATGTGGGAAGGAATGAAGGAAATGGTTGAGTTGCATCTGTACTGTCTGCTTTTATTAAGTGTTAGCTGGTAGCTACAAGTAAATAGAAAAATCTGAATAAAAGTCAGAGCGTTCCCAATTTCTTACTGTCTTTTCGCATATTGTTTGTCAAAATGAATGTTATTTAAAGCCAAACTCAATGAAGATATACATCTATAAAGGCAGTGTTTTATTCATGACAAAATAATTATATGTATTTATAACTAGTGTAAATACCTGAAATTGGTTTTCTTAGCACTCTGTAATTCTCTGTACAGCAGCACTCAGAATGGGGGGAGGAAGCGGCAGCACTAGAAGCCCGCCAGATATGCTGTAATGAACACATCACAGGGAACATGGTAACAAGGGGAGAGAGCAGAGGGATAAGCTCATCAGTCTTCTGCTGCTTTTTCACTGTCAAGACAGGCCTGGGAGCGGGGTGGTGACCATGCTGAGTTGTTTACTGGAATAAGTGTGGTTACCAGCCTGACTTTGCTGTATGGCTGAGCTGTGTAAACCTTAGCAATGGATGGACAGAAATACAAATCCTTTAGTAGTTAAAACTGCTCCCATATTTTCCTTTCAACTATGTATCACTACTATTGGTGGAAAACTAGTTTGGGAGTTTATTCAAAAACCAAAGGCAGATTCCCAAGTAGAAATGAGGACTGTTTACATTCAAAACTGACTAGGAAGGATCAGTCAAAGCTAGAGAAAGAGGACAAAATAAGGCAACCTTATTGATTTGTTCTTTAAAAAAAATGTGTATATTATATATGATCTAGTGGTAAATGTGTCATCAGTCCTCTCCTCCTTACTTTGCACCTGTTTAGGAGACAACTTAGCTGAAAAAGAAACCTGTATTGTTTATCTTACACTTGACTTATGTGCTTTGCAGCTAAGGCCTCTTATCCTGGAACCTCCAGTGACTCTGAGAGCAGAGGGAGAATGGAATGCTGACCACGACTCTCTCATCAGCTATTCTGTGAGCAAGGATTTTCCCAGCAGCACCTGGGACTGGATTGGTCTCTACAGGGTACGTAAGCAAATTATTGAATTTCAGAGTTTGAGTACATACAATCATTTCTGCGGGTGTAGGATTTACAATGACCTGGTTGACAAGGTAAATGTGTTCTCCAAGGTGCTGCACTGGAACCCATGAATTGGTTTGAGGCACTTCAGCAGTATTGTTACCTCAGACATGTTTTAGGCCAGTACAGGTTTTAAAAAGACATATTGATCAGTCCCAGAAACAGCCAGTCACATGCAACTTAATTTATTTGTCATGACGCATGTGGAAATGTGTAATTTTGAAGGCTAAGTTTGCTTTTCTAACTATGTTTCATGTTACACCCATGTGTAAGGTGAAACTTGCTTACATCCCTAACCCGCCATCCTGTCACTTTTTAAATTTGGCGTAAATGGAGAGACTACAAGGACTGTCTGCCATGGCAGTTGTCAATGGAGTAGAAGTGTGGTGACATCAGCACACTTGTAGTCCATTCATACTTCATATTCCTCCTGTCCCTTAAAGGGACATCAAACTCGGGAATTAAATCTTAAAAATGCATTCAAGTACCTTAACTATTAATGTATCTTTTTTAGGGGGGGGGGGGGGGAATATCACTCAGCTGTAGATCCTCAAATCATCTCTGAATTGGTGCTGACACTGTCCTTCCTTGTGGAGGGTGGCTACTTTTGTTCTGCATTGCCCTGTGTGTGTTGAAAAGTAGTCACCGCTCCAAGCCCACTCCCATGATGGACTACAATCTCCCATTTAGTTAACTAATTTGTATTGAAGTTATAGTGCATAACAGGAGTGAGCTTGAAGTGGTGGCTACAACACACACAAGGGAACAAAAGTAGCCACCCTCTAAAAGGAATGGCAGTGTCAGCACCAGAGTTTCACTACATTGAATGTTACCCTAGTCATTGTGAAAAGTGGTGGTCAGTTGCCCTGGTTTTCATGCTAGTGGAAAATAGCTTGAGAAACTACTAGCATGGGGCTGTCCAAGGGTTAGTTACCTGGTTGTGAACTGAAGATCCAAACAAGGTATAACAATAATAACAAAGAAAAGTGAGTGGGTTTCCACATCTTTTGCACATTTGCTGCAATTGATTTTGGTGGGTGTAACGCACTGTGAGGGAAGTCTTACGTTAATGGATCTCAGCTTAGGATGTGAGTGGTTAAATACGGTGAGTACGTTAATTACCGTGGCAGTAGTGGGTGACCAGGAGCAGTGGCTTATACACAGTAGGGGGTAGAGTGATGGGACTCAGGAGCCATACACAAAGATCTCATGTTAATAGGTATAATTGGCAGTTCACAGCATTTACTACAAGTATACTGGGAAGTTACTTCACTTCTCTTGCATATCGATGAGCGTAAATAAAAGTTGACCAGTAGGAATTATAAATACTTGCAGTTCAGGTGTGACACAGTGGAAGTCCGTATAGTATCAGTGAGACATCCCCAGGGGGTGTGGATAAGGGCTCCTGGCTGGACAGGCGCATCTGCAACAGGCTTCCATGTTCTGTATATTTGGATTAAGGAGACGATGGTAGTTTGCGTATAGGCTTAATGAGGATACCACTGGGGATGAGTTGTCCATGCAAAATAGGAGAGCAACAGATAGCTCGTTGGAGATAGTTTAACATGTGGGTAATCCTGGCAGAGAGAGAGTGTAGGGGCTGAGCCAGCAAGAGTCCCGAGACTGTGAGCACAGTGGAACGGCCAGCAAAGTAATGGGTGGTTGGGTATAGAGGGAATCCCCTCTCAACTGAAGCAGTTACAACTGCTGTTGGGGTTCGGTGGAGGAGCGCAGGGCACGGCGTTTACTTCATTGCACGAACGCCGTGCAATTGAATTCCGCGGCTTAAGCGGACTAGGAGGGCGGTGCTGCGTGATGTCACCGGCGGGGAGACGGAGCTCCGCGCAGAGCGACGGACGTCTGAGAGGTGAGTTCCTTACAGTGGGATCCTCAGTCACCTTGGCCATTCTGAATGTTTCACAACAATTCAACTTTTTCTAAAATGGAATTCAATTTTTGTAGCAGATTGACTGACTAGTGAAAATCTGCTTAACTACTGTTTTTTTTTTCTTTTTAAATTAGGTTGGATTTAGACATACAAATGATTATGTTACTTATGCCTGGGTGAAAGATGATGAGATTTCCTTTAGTAAAGACTCTAATCAGGTGAGTGATGGAGTATCTTCCTTGAATTATGTGTGGATTTTAATTTTCTATGTAACATATGTTGGTGTTGTTTCCTTATTTAGCTGACCAACCATTCTAAAGTCCCTCATGTTGCAGTTCAGAGTCTTGTTCTCCTCCACTACCATCACTCTAGCTGCCAGAGATAAAGGCCTGCTTTAGACGGACTTGAGACTCCATCCATCCTCTGAAAAGCAATCGGCAATGGATTGCTTTTCAGAGGGTGGTGGAGCAGCGGCTGGCCGGCATTCAAGAGGCAAGAATGACACTTCCTGAATGCAGAGATCCCCCCCCCCCCTCAGGATTTTTTATTGAGGTACCGTGCTGCAACTTCATACCCACACAGTTGCAGCGAGGTCCCATTCATTCCAATTATCTTGTTTGACATGCGGCACTGCCTGCCAAACATGACTTGCTGTATATTTTTTGCTGCAATGTGTACAGTACAATGCCGCCACAGTGCTGACATTGCAGCTGAAGGTTATTAAAACGGTACGTCAACCAAGTGCTTTTATTGTCTCCCTCACTGCCTATATGAACGAGGCCTTAGATTTCGGAAACCCACTGCTAGAGCAGAGATAGCTTAAAGAAGCCCACAAAAATGGTGTATTAGGATAGTGAGCAGAGCCAAGAAAATCATTCCTTTCATGCACCTTGGCCAACTGTACCTCCAGAACCATTGGTTATAGCACAGATACAGCCCAATATTATACAGCCATTTATTTCAAGTCTTTTTATGCTTGTTGGTCATCATTAGTTCAGTACTTGAAAACCATGGCTTCTATGAAGTTGGGCTTGGGGAGCAACAAGAAATGATAATCTGACAGGTTATGGTGAGGTGGGCCTAAAGGAAGCAAAAGCCCTCCACCAAACCAGTGCAAAGCACTTAAAACAGAAGGTATCTACATATTTCACTTCATCACAAATCCAAAAAACAGTGTTTGTTCCTCATTTTAGGATAGTGGGTGAATCCTTGCGCATTAGACTCTGCAAAACCCTTTTTGCCCAAGACCAATAAATAGATGAATCAAGGGACCTTTCAAGGCAACCTATGAAGCCCTCTTTGTTACCCTCTCAGATTACCTTTCACTGCGGGAATCCCAGTCACCAGAAAAAACCTCAGTTGTGCAAAGAAAAAAGATTTTTGGAGAACTTCAAGTTTAGTTTGAGATATAAAGAATGATGATGGAGAGAACTGCAACAGTACAATTACAAGTCATATGGCAATTGGATTTTACATTTCACTGCAACAAGATTGCATGTTTAAAAGAATATACAGTAGATGCAAATGAGTGTTATGAACATTTTCTAATAAAACCATGACCATATTTATTTCCTGAATCTATCCCTGTAATGTAAAATGTGATGGTTTTAGTTGGCCATCTAGAAGTTCTTTGTGAGCTTGGGTTTATCATTTAATGATAGCTAAACTCATTAAAAACAATTGAATATATTGCAGCTTACCAGTCCTTTGCTATCATGGCTGCATCATTTTTTCAAGCTAAAACCATTTTCAGCAAGTACACAAAATACCTGTTGATCTTGCAGGAATTGAAGTGCACAAACAATATTCTTTTTGTAAATTACTAATCTCCCCTCTCCAAGTAATTGAGAAAAATAAAGGCAGACGTGTGAAGCCCAGCCTGAGTAACAACCATAGCTCCGTCCATAGTTTCGGTGTAGGAGTGAGTGTAGCCACCCAGGAACAGCAAATGTGTTATTTACAAGATTACAAAGGTGCAAATATAAGACAAAACCTAAAAGAAGAAGAATGCCACCACCACATCTAAGGACTGGTAAGCTGTAATATATTCCATTTGTTTTTTTCGGGGTAGATACACTTTAAGCAACAGACTGTTAGAGAGAGAGCCAGTTGTTCATATTTTATTAAATCTGTTGTACTGTCTCTGTTTAAATCTATCATTTTGGAAAGTTCCCTAGTATCTGTGTACTTTCAAACAAAGTAGGTTGTTTTATATATGAGAGGTACACTTCTGTGTTATGTGTGTTTTGTGATGTTCATGGTATTATCCTTCAATTTCTGTGTTATTTATCTTCTAGGTTTACATTAGTGCTGACGAGATTCCTCTTGATGGGGGTGAATTTCTATTGTGTTACTTCTGTCACAATTTGCAGTGTTTGGCTGGTATTAGTGATCCCTTCCAGGTACGCAGCTTAAATGCTGAAATAGAAATACTTAATAATGTGTACACAGTGCAGGCGCAGTAAGCTATACATGACCCTTTTTGGTAGCGTGGTGGCAAGAACAAAGGAGAGGTGTAAAACACAAAGCAGCCAATCAGATGTCAGCTTGTAGCACTGGGAGTAGGAAAGCAGATTAACCACTTCCCGGCCGAACGTTGTAAAAAAAACGGCCGGCCAGGAGCTCTCTAGATCTGAGCGGGCGGCTTTAGACGTCCGCTCAGCCACGCCCCATCGCGCGCACCGCTGGGCGCGCGCGAGCAGGAAATGACAATATTTGAAAACAGGCAGCGATGCCCGTTAATATACAAGCTATAGAGCCGGCGGATTATTATCCCATTATATCCAATAACATAACCACTCCCTTTATGAATTTATTGTTTTGTAGTTTCTGTAGTTGATCTGTACACAAAAGTGCTTGCAGTGCACAGACGCAAATGATTTCTGGAATCTTCCTAACGTGACCATAAAGTACAGCCATATACCTGCAGCAGCTTGATTGAATGACATCTATTTTGAATGCCACAAGCTCTGTAGCGGGAAGCTTGCCCACTCCATCCCCTTTCCCTCCCTTGCACACATTGCTCTCGGCCAAGGAATGGCTCAGGGCCAGTAGGAATGTGCGGGGTGTGGAAGGGGGTGTGCAAGCTCTTGACACTACTTGGAAGAGATAGCTTTGTCTATTCAGCATGAACAGCATTCAGACATAGCAGATATTAATGAGAGAACCTTCAAAGTCATAAAATAATGATAGATATGCACCAAAATTCAATAAATATGCACGTAGTAAGTATGTTTGTTTTTTCCCAAGAATTTACCACTAACTCCTTTTTTTGTTAAATCCACTTTATCACAAACATAATAACAAAAACAGTTAAACACTAAAACATGACATGCATTGTGTCCATGTAAAATACAAATTGCAGCATAAATTGTTATCCACAAAGAATTACAATATAAAAGTACAGGAGTATTAGCACTGGAAAGGAACCAGAGTCACTTTACAATGAGAAATACATACAGTGATGAGGTATAAGTAATATTAAATTATACATAGCTAAGTAAGTGACTAAGCAGATAAAGAGGGAAGGGGGGATAATACTAGTACTGTCGTAGATGTGAATGTATCCATATTTCCCCACATGAGCAGATGAGTCCAGGAAGCAGGATTGCCCAAACTCCCAGTTTTTTCATAAGTAGCAGTAATTTAAATGTAATTGTACAGCACATTTCCATAGTAGATAGGAATGCACCGATACCGTTTCTTCGGTATCAAGTACGAGTACTGATTTTTTTCCCCGTATTCGTTGATATCGATACGGGAAGTGCCATTAAGAAAGCCAGGCAGGGCGTGGCCTGAGCATGGCTGAGTGAGGACGTGCTTTCCCGGAGAGTATGTGATCAGTTAATAAAAGAATTTTAAAAAAAAGAAAGCCAGGCAGTGTTTGATGACTCACCGCGCAGCTTCCTGATTAGCCGGGAAGCCGGGTGGCGAATCAATACCTGCCTTCCAGCTTCCTGATTAGCCGGCTCCATGCTCCCTCGCCACCAGGTGATGAGGAAGCATGGAGTCGGCTTCCTGGACAATCAGGGAGCAGGTAATGACTCACCGCCTGGCTTCCTGATTGGCCAGCTTCCCGACCAATCAGGAACCTGGGCAGCTAGCCATTACATGCTGCTGGGCTCCCTCATTGGCCAAAAGGCTGGCTCCATGCTCCCCCGTCCCTAATGACTCGCCGCCTGGCTTCCTGATATCGGTAGCGGGATAAGCATAAGGAGCATTTGGGCCAGTACCAAATACTTGGTATCGGGACTGATATCGATGCTAGTATCCGTGCATCCCTAATAGGTGTATAATAATGTACCTATTTGTACAAACAAAAATGAGAAGTGATCAATAAATGATGGAGGTCATTCAGACAGGAAACAAAAGTGGGTTATGTGGAGATGACAGTTTACAGGCAATTGAGAATATTCAGTTTAAAAACAGAGGAGAGATCAAGATGGACGTGGTGAGTTGCGGAGAGGAGGTGTAGATAGAGAAGAGAACCCATGAGAGAACAAAAATTGTAGAATTCTAAGAGTTGTCACAAATGCATGCTGATCTAATTAACACCTTTTTTGTATTTTCTATATTTCATCTAGATCCAGGCTGGTCGAACTTTTCCAGGAAAGGAGGGGTCGCCGCCAACCACTGATGATTCTTCCAAGTCTGACATGTTTGTGGGTACTGGGTTCTAGGGCTCCATTGACGTGTGGAGAGGTCCATGCCAGTAATGTTTGTATAGTGTGTCCACTTCTGCTTGGTAGCATCATGGTGCTGTGCAGAAATGGAGCAATTGCTATGCTTTGCTGTAATCTCAGCAAAATGGCTGTTTACATCCTCCGAGGAAACTGTCTCAGAATGCATTTCCCTAACACTGGATTAAGTAGAACATTTTTGGACGATAACAAAATTAGTTTTGACTAGTTTTAGTTTTTAGAGCAAGACTTTTATTTTGAGATTTTTATTACTATTATTATTTTAGGTGATGAATGTTTGACGAGTGGACTGCTAAGCGATAAACTTTCAGCCTAAAGCCATATCATGCACCAACAAGCCCCAGTTCCTTGAATCATTATGACAGCTGGACACAGCACTTAGAACCTCGTTTCCTTATATTTTCCAGTTTAGTTTACAAACTTTAGGCAGTCATCGTGTTCTTATAGTTTACAGAACATTATCTATGGCACCCATCTGTGAAATATTAACTTATGTATTTATAGTAAAGCTCTGCTCCTTTAGTATTATTTTAAATCGGCACATCTTGTAGGGTATCATATACTGTATTTATGTCCAGTTTATTTAAACCAAGCTAGTGCTGCAGACAATCATTGATTTGTAGGACCTAATACAGGCACCAAATGTCCCTCAACTCTCGCGGTGCTCTCAGCCAACTTTGAATGTTTTGGTTTCATCAGTACAAGGCCTCATAAACACAGGGCAGGGTGCAGTGGTACCTTGCAACCAAGACTGCCAAATCCACTTGTTTTACAACCAGCTGCAAATTACATTTGAGATATTTGAAAAAAATGATCATCACATTACCCTGACAACACAAAAATAACAGTGCAGCATGGTTGCACTAGTACCATTTTAAAGCTAATTTCCTGGATGATATCCAAATCATGCTACAATTTTATGCAATTTGCAGTAATTAAAAAGTTCTTAAAGATATTTTAAATATAGGTAGTATATGCATATGATTTCGGCCCCCTGCAGTGGTCTGGACAGCAGGATTCAGACTGGGGGAGGAAGAGGCAGCACTGTGAGCCAGGCAGGTTGTGCTGGATTGCTCAGTGTAGTCAATGTAAAGCTGCCCATACACACGACGATTATCGTACGATAATCTTGGGTGATCCGAAAATTTGTAAGGTGTATGGACAGCGTGTGACCGCATATACTGTAAGGTCGCACGACTTTCGTCTTCCGAGCACGCTAGAAAACGATTTTCGGCAGGTTTTCTAGCGTGCTTGGGAAGACGAAAGCCGCACGGGCCGAGGTGCGCAAGCGTGCACTTCCCGCTCAGCATTGCAATCATCTGTAACCCCTCCTCTCAGCGGGGAGGGCTTGCGATGATCGCAAGTACGATCTGCCTGTCCAAGATGAGCAGGTCGTAGGAAATGTTAATCACCTTACACGTATGGTGTATGGGCAGCTTAACACTAGGAGCTTGCGAGCAGAATGAGTGATGATATCATCAGTCTGCTAATGCTCTTTCATTATCCTTTCACTAGGTTATAAGCAGTATGGTGACTGAGCTTTATTTTTTTAACATCAGTGAAGAAAAGTGAGGTCACTGACCTAGCTATACTGCCCAACAAAGCCTGTTACACATAAAACTGACGACATACAGGCTATTCTATTTTAAACAGCTGTTTGTCAGGCATTCAGCTTTAAAATGGTAATGGACTCAGCTCACTAAGCTATACAGATTGTTTTTGCCAAAACAACGGTTCTTTTCAGCAGTGATAGCTATTGGGAGTTCAAAATACTAATCACATGGGTGGAAGTCATGAATGTGAGTGCAAATATATACAAGTTTTAAAGCTTAGTGAATCAAGCCCCATGTTTTATATTTACACTTTTCTGCGTTGTGTGATAATGGCTATGCTCAGGCATGTTGGCATCATGTTGTAAAATGCAATGTGACATATAGAGAAATTTTTTACTTCTATGTACTGCACCATTTGTTTTAGTTTATTGCTTCTGGCTACCTGCATGAGGCTACTTGGCACATATAAGGATTCCATGCTGCATGTCCCATTCTGAAATACACAAAACAGTTGATAAGTGATTATAAATACATGGGCCAACAGCTCCAGCTAAGTGTGTGCTGTGCAGATTTTGTACATGTCCCCCAATGGTGTCTCTCCTCTTCAAATACAACTCCAACCTGATTTTATACACTTTTGCTAGTTCCTGTTAAAGACACTATAAAGAAACGGTAAAATGAATCTCCGTGTGCAGGAATCAAGAATTAATTGGTATAGATAAATATGAGGGTCAATCAAAAAGTAATGCCTCCATGTCTGTAATTTGAGATCTATAAGAGTGACTGTGAATGTTCATGTACCAGGTTATAGAGGTGTGCTTACCCCACTAATGTATGCTATAGAGGTGTCCTTACCCCACTAATGTATGCTATAGAGGTGTCCTTACCCCACTAATGTATGCTTTTCTTTTTCAATTGGGAGATTAGAACCATGGATCTGCAGCTAAAACAATAAGCTGTAATTGAATTTCTGGTGAAAGAGGGTTGTGCACCTAAGGAAATCCATAATTGGCTAAAGTTTATGGGGACGCTGTAGTGGAACTTCAGTTTCTCCTGCTTTAACCACTTGAGGACCAGGTGTTTACACACCCTTCCTGTCCCGGACATTTTTCAGTGTTCAGCGCTGCGGTACTTTGACTGACATTTATTCCGTCATGCAGCGCTGTACTGAAATGAATTTTATACCATTTTTTGGGGACAGATAGAGCTTTTTTTTTGGTGGTATTTAATCACCACTGGGGTTTTATTTCTTACTATATTCAGGAAAAAATGTTTACATTGTGTTAGGAAACAATTATTATTACCCAATTTTTTGGGTAAAATATAAAAGACGGGGTCACGCCGGGTAAATAGACACCAAACATGTCAAGCTTTAAAATTGCGCGCACCCGCGAAATTGCAAAAAAAAATTCAAAATTCTGACATCAGACAGGGGACCGGGGATCTCCCTCTGATCCCCTGTCACAGAGCCACCATGCTGGTCCCGGGCTCACACTGGGCACAGCGGAGCCCGGGACCAGCGGGAGAGGGGGTGCACGGACCGACACCTTATGCAATCGATCCGCCGGCTCTATAGCCGGCAGATCACTTGTATGTAAACAAGCAGGTTCCCGGAGTGAGAGTGGCTGTGGGACGTTTAAATACGTCGCTCAGATCTAGGAAGCTCCCGGCCGGCCGTATTTTTACAACGGCCGTCTGGGAGGTGGTTAAACTTCTTCACCCAACGACGCACATTGCTAATGTCCACTCCAGTGTCCCCATTAAACATTCTTTAGCCAATTATGGATTTCCTTAGGTGCATAACCCTCTTTCACCAGAAATTCAATTACAGCTTATTGTTTTAGCTGCAGATCATGGTTCTAATCACTCAATCTGATAAAGAAAAGCATACATTAGTGGGATAAGGACATCTCTATAACATAGTACATGAACATTCACAGTCAGTCTGATAGATCTCAAATTACAGATATGGAGGCATTACTTTTTGACAACTGAAGTCGTGTTTAAGTATGTCACAACAGTACTTTACAGATATATCAGAGTCTCACAACTGCCTGGAAGCTCTTGTACTTGAACTTACTATTTGTCAAAACAGTTATTTCTGTATTAGTGCCTTATTATGTTAGGTGCAGAATTATGTGGAATGACTAAGTAATCAGTCTTTAGAAACCTTTTTTTTTGTATTAATGTATTAGGATGTATATAAAACACACACACACACACACACACACGATGTGATGCCTGATTTTTATAGTATGATCATCATTTATTATGTCTAATTTATGTTGGAAAGGACCAAAAGTTTGAGTGCCTTGCTTAAGCTGCAGTATCATTTTGGGGTTACTTAGACTTTGAGAGTAACTTGTTTTAAATTCAGTGTCCGCCACATGATTTTAAATGTAAGCCTTAAAATATGTGTCTATTATGAGACGAGCTGAAGCAGCTGGGTTGTCAACAAGGTTTTCTAGAGAAAGCAAAATGTACACCCAAATCCATGGAACCAGTTTTCTATTGTAGGACATGCTGCTAATACATAACTGGTTCACTGATATCTAGACTAATAGCTGTCCATTGGTTCATAGATCAAATGTACCGGTCCTCTAAATTCCATGTCTGTTTGCCCCAGTCAGGTACATATTACACCAACAAGGTTGTCTTCAGTAAGGAATGGAAGGATGTCATTGTAATTGCTTCATTTAGTGTGTAGCACAATATAAAACTGAACTGTTTCACTGTTGCATAGCAATGGGCTTTAGTAGGTTCAGCTGTAAATCTATATCAATGTATCAGGATAGTGTTACTTTTAAAGTTTAAAGGACACCTACACCAAGAAGAATATGGGGG